TGAGGTAAGAAGCCTGCCAAATTTCACAATGACAGGTGCAGGGGGGGGTTGTAATAGACACCTTTATATTTGTGTTTTGGGGGAGGGGATTAGAGGGGATTCACTCCCCTCTCAGAGGTTTTGTGGCAATGTTTTTAATGTGAAAATGGCATGCACCAAGAGCTGCCACTAGGAAAAATGCCCTGCAGAAATTCAGAAGGATGGGCACAGTAGCTAAGGTGTTATGATTAATGGGGGTAGGACAGATTCAGACTTGTTTTCTGCTCAATTGACCCCAGAGGTCCCAAAAACTAAATGCAAAGCTAGTTTGGCAGGAGGAGGTGTGTAAGTATGTGGTACAGAGATAGAAGCACTTGAGTGTCTAGTATTTTCAAGCACCACTAGCAGAACAAGACCAAAGTGCTACATTACTTCAGAATTCCTTCTCCTAAGCATTATGAGTAGAGATCCCTGATGCAATCATTTCTTCTTATTAGAAGTTTGACCTGTCAGTCAGAAAAGAGCTCTCCCTCCCCTTCATATTTTCCTTATGTGCCAAATCTGAGGAGTAATCTTTCCTTCCTTCCTTCCTTCCTTCCTTCCTTCCTTCCTTCCTTCCTTCCTTTCTTTCTTTCTGCAGTCACACTGTCAACACCGTTTTTCCCTATGTGCAGATCTCTGAAATACTCCAAATTGTTCCAGAAGTTCCTGCTTCAGTTCAAGGTGCTTCAAAGAGATCCTACTTCTGTTTGCACAAGCCTCAAATCTTTCCTAACTGGCCCATTTCATCCAACGATTTAGGATTTATCTGAATATGATGCACACCACAAAAGGAAATGCACATTATCAAATACTTCATATATAGCACTTCTTTAAAAAAACTAGGTGTTAAGGAGAAAGTTAGGCAAAACCCCTTCTCCCTGACATGTACTGTTCTGTGTAGGGAGATCTTCTTCTTCTTCTTCTTCTTATTATTATTATTATTACTATTATTGCTATTATATTATTATTATTATTATTATTATTATTATCATTATTATTATTATTATGAATGGGGAAATTTTTAATAATGTGAAGTGCCACTTACAGTGCAAGGCAGGGCAGACATCAGGCTTGCAGGAAATATTTTTGTTTGTTTGTTTGTTTGTTTGTTTGTTTGTCTGTCTGTTTCCTGAAACCCTGAGATCTTCCAAACACCAACAAAGGCAAAAGACATACATTTAGAATTAAAGAATTCCAAGCCCAGGAACTGGTTTTGAAAACCAGAACCAAACTGAGCCCATTGTCCACTCCTGGTGACCACTTCCTAGCTTTCTTCATTTTGACAATATACATTTGTAGAGGAGGGGGGTCATTTTGTTATTGCCTGTCTTAAGCAATTGGAAGTCAGAAAGCTTTGTGCATCTACTTTAAATCATTTAGAGGTATTTCAGTAGATCCTGATGTACCTTCTAAACACGTGTGATCTAAAGCTCAGACACTGGTTTATTATCTCAGCAAAACTCAATGTATATGCACTTTTTCTCCAGGGTAATATTTTTGCCCCCAACAAAAAAAAATATATGCACCAACATGTAAAGGTAAAGGACCCCTGGACGGTTAAGTTCAGTCAAAGGCGACTATGGGGTTGTGGCACTCATCTTGCTTTCAGGCTGAGGGAGCCGGCGTTTGTCCTCAGACAGCTTTCCGGGTCACGTGGCCAGCATGACTAAACCGCTTCTGGTGCAACGGGACACTGTGGCAGAAACCAGAATGCACAGAAACGCCGTTTACCTCCCCGCCACAGCGGTACCTATTTATCTACTTGCACTGGCGTGCATTCGAACTGCTAGATTGGCACTAGCATGTACATCCACAGGAAAAAATATGAGCCATATTTTACTCCTGTTGGGGGGACAAACATTGTAAGGCATGCTTTTTAGCAGAACAACAACAACTAGTCTTTGTTTGCATTTTGTGAAAAAAAGAAAACTCTTGACCAGCATGTGAAGTTCTGGCCTCAGAATTAGGCCAAAGCAAGGGGAGCCAAGGGATGCCCCTAGTTGCTGCTGAACTGCAATTCTCATTGTCCTCCATCATCAACCATGCTGGCTGGGGCTGATGGGATTTGTAGTTGCACAACATCCAGAGGATGCCAGGTTGGCAACCCCTGCACTCGAGCTTTCCCTAAAACTTACTGAGCTGAAGAATTAACTTCATCAGCTAGTTGTATGCATCTTTAGCAGGCACCTAACATCTATGCAAAAAATTGGCAGAGACATGTGTCAGCTAGCATCTTGCACTGAAATATTTAATTTGCTGAATGAAACGCTACATTTTAAACCATTAAAATGTCTACAGTCTAAGGCCTTTCACTAGAACTATATATATAGTTAAGTTCCTATACTCAAGAGTTTTGTGGTTGTTGTGGCCTTGAATCTATTAGATCTCCACTCAGGCCTGTCCCCTTTTCCTTGTGCCACCATTTATTTCTTTTTAGATTTATATCTCATTTTTCAGTTTTAAAAAAAATTAAGCCTGAAGGACAGCGCACAATTACAGCAATAAACTTCTACAGATCAAAATCAATCAAAAGGAAAAACTGCAGACACAAGAGGCAATGTGTACAGGCACATGGAGTCACTGTGTGGCCTTGGGCAAGTTGCTATCTGTCAGCCTCAATTCTTCATCTGTAAAAGGGGAATAATAGTTCTTAAAAGATAATCCCTTCTTAGAAAAGTTGAGAGACAGCCTTGAGCCAGATAGTGTGCACCCTGCTGTTCCTCAAGGAAAGGCTGCAGTTTCTGTCCCTTTTCTGTTCTCTCCCATCTTCCCTATGAGGAAGAAGAAACCCTTTGGGTTCCCTTCCTCAAAACCTTTGGCTTCCCCTCCCCTCAAAAATGCCCAGTGCATTGGTCTGCCTCTTGGGGCCCTCAGCTTCCAGCTGTTATTGTCATTAGATTTTCTCCCTCCCTGGGGGTAGACTCAGACTGAGAATTCTCATGCTTCGTGTCCTTCTAGAGTTTTCAACTACCAGGTTTCACACTCCTACATAAAGGATTCATGGGTGCAATCACAAGAGCCAATAGCATTGGTGGGGCAGCAGCAGTTACCTGACCTCTGGCGGCTAACAGATTGGGGTTGAATCCTGACAAGACAGAAGTACTTTTGGGGGGGGACAGGAGGTGGGCAGGTGTGGAGCACTCTCTGGTCCTGAATGGGGTAACTGTGCTCCTGAAGGACCAGGTGCGCAGCCTAGAAGTCATTCTGGACTCACAGCTGTCAATGGAGGCGCAGGTCAATTCTGCGTCCAGGGCAGCTGTTTATCAGCTCCATCTGGTATGCAGGCTGAGACCCTACCTGCCCGTGGACCGTCTCTCCAGAGTGGTACATGCTCTAGTTATCTCCCGCTTGGACTACTGCAATGCGCTCTATGTGGGGCTACCTTTGAAGGTGACCCAGAAACTACAACTAATCCAGAATGCGGCGGCTAGACTGGTGACTGGGAGCGGCCATTGAGACCACAACACCGGTCCTGAAAGACCTACACTGGCTCCCAGTATGTTTCCGAGCAAAATTCAAAGTGTTGGTGCTGACCTTTAAAGCCCTAAACGGCCTGGGTCCAGTATACCTGAAGGAGCATCTCCACCCCCATCGTTCTGCCCAGACACTGAGGTCCAGTGCCGAGGGCCTTCTGGTGGTTCCCTAACTGCAAGAAGCCAAGTTACAGGGAACCAGGCAGAGGGCCTTCTCGGTAGTGGCACCCGCCCTGTGGAATGCCCTCCCACCAGATGTCAAAGAGAAAAACAACTACCAGACTTTTTAGAAGACATCTGAAGGCAGCCCTGTTTAGGGAAGCTTTTAATGTTTAATAGATTATTGTATTTTAATATTCTGTTGAAAGCTGCCTAGAGCGGCTGGGGAAACACAGCCAGATGGGCAGGGTATAAATAAATTATTATTATTATTATTATTATTATTATTATCATTATCATCATTATCATCATCATCATCAGTGTCACTGAAGACTACCAGGAGTGGAGGTTGCTGAGGTTGGCACAGGGCAAAAACCTGTACCTTGCTCCCAATGGTGTTACACTGCAGCCACCTCATACCCGCTTCATCCTCTCAGTGCACCACAGTGATGAGGGTGTTGGGAGTTCAGGTGAGCAACGCTGTCCCACCCAGCCTCCTTACAACAGTGATCTTCCTCAGGACAAACATTCTGTTATGGATCTCAGCCAAAAAAATTCAGATAATAAAATACAACATTAAAATGTGATGATTCAAAGCTGTGGTTTTGAGCCAGTGTGCCATGGCACCCTGGGGTGCTGTGAAGGATAGTCCATGGTGCCACAGGCAACACTGGCCTCTTTCCCTCTTTCCTTCCCTCCCTTCCCCTGAAGCCCTCTCACATCTCTGCCTCTCAAAGGCTTGCACAGCTGTTTGTTGCAGTAGCCCTGGCTACAAACTCTTCAGGCGAATGGTGCCTCTAGGGCTGGCCAGGGGTGCTTCCCTGTAGGGCAGTGTGAGGAGGCATCTCTCTTTGGGGCAGAGGGGGCAGCTCAGAGATCAGCTACAGCTGCTCAGAGGGTTCCCAAGGAGAGGGGAGAAGAGAGGAGGCTGCAGGAACACTACACAAGGGAGGGTGTTCAAAAAGCAGTGAGTAGTTGCTTTGACCTTCAGTGCATGTCAGATGTGTCTTCCAGCCAGCATGGTGAAGTGGTTAAGAGAGGTGGACTCGTAATATGGTGAACTGGGTTTGCTTCCCCGCTCCTCCACATGCAGCTGCTGGGTGACCTTGGGCTAGTCACACTTCTCTGAAGTCTCTCAGCCCCATTCACCTCACAGAGTGTTTGTTGTGGGGGAGGAAGGGAAAGGAGATTGTTAGCCGCTTTGAGACTCCTTGGAGTAGTGATAAAGTGGGATATCAAATCCAAACTCCTCCTCCTCTTCTTCTTCTTCCTGTTGTGACACTAGCTGTTGTGACACTAGTTGCCCATGTTTCACATCTCTTTTGAAGGATAAAGCAGGTTGCTGGTGGAAAAGTGTGTGTGTGTGAGAGAGAGACAGAGAGAGAGAGAGAGGCAGCTATGGAATCTGTTGCTAAAACTTAATTGTATGCACTTTTTTTTGTTCCAGGCTCTCTCTCTCTCTCTCTCTCTCTCTCTCTCTCTCTCTCTTTCTGTGTGTGTTTGTGTGTGTGTGTGTGTGTGTGTGTGTGTGTGGTGGAGGGGAGAAACAAAATAAAACTCAGGTTACACAATGACAGCTCAGGTTTTGTTTTTAAGGTCTCAGGTGTTGTTGTTTTTAGAAAGTATGGGTAAATAACAAATTTCTTCACCTGACACTTGGGAAGCTATTGAGCAACAGCACCCTAGCCAGGAATCCCTACTGTATACTAGGGAATGGGAATGTTTGGGGCTATATTTCGCATCATCCCAGTCCATTGGCCAAGCTGGTCGTACAGAAGTCCCACACCACCTGGAGGGCAACAGGTTATCCACTCTTGCTGTATGTATACAATAACAGCCACTTGCAGGGTACATACTTGGCCCACTCAAAAAGGAAGATGAAGTTTGAATTTGATGAGTCCAGCATCTTAGGCAGTGGAAGACAATTGCCTCATAACCTTATTTTAAAGCAAGGATGTGGAAAAGAGGAGTTGCTTGAGTGTGACCCACACAGGCTGTAGAAGTCATGAACATTTTGGCTTCAGTGACAGAGGTAACCGATCACCTTGTTACTGTATTCCACACACACACACACACACACACACACACACACACACACACTGTTTTGTCCTTATATTGGTAGGGCATGGTGTTTTTTCCTCCAACAGCTTGTTTTTCCTTTTTTATTTCTGCTCTTGACAATGTCAAGAAAGAGGGCAGCATGGTATTGATTTAACATCCAGGGGGTTTTTTTGGTAGGTGTCCCAGACATCAGATCAATATGGCAGCTCCGCCTTCATTACAAGCCAACGCAAGCACTAGGAATAATCCTAGCCTAGCACCCACAGGTCTGGAGGTCACTCTTCCAAAAAATGAACACAGCTATTACGCTGGGGTGGCGGTGGCAGAGGAGGAGGGTGTGTTGTCTTTTAAAGGTAGGAGGCTGTCAGGAAACGACAGAGTCAACAACCTCTTTCAAACCTCCAAGAAGATTGCAGCTTACCTCCAAAATGTGCAAAATCAGCTTTTCTTACCGAATGCGATTCCAATGGGAGAAGGAGCAGGGAGGTTGAACTGGCAACTCCCACTAGCCCCCTTCATTTCAGATTCTCCACTGAACCATGCCAAAATGTGCAGGGCTCCAGTGGAGCATGCTCCACTTCTTGACTTTCAATTTCGACAAAAAAAATGGGGAAATGGGCAAGCGAGGCATGACACTTCAGGAATAAATGATGTGCCAGAAGGAGGTGATGAGAACCGTGAACTGACCCAGCCCTGTGGCTGCAGAGATTAAAACCACAGTTCTGGAACAGCAAAGGTGCAAAGCATGTGCTCAGTTTTACCTGCTCAGTGGCCAGACCAACAGGGTTCATTTCACACAGAAGTAGAGCCACGAAAGGTTTCTAAATATATGCAGATAGCAGCACTGGGCATGTGACAGAAAATGTGACGCTATATCTACTTACACAGGGCAAAACAGCATTCCAGGTAAAGAAATAATCGTAATTGTAATCTCTGGAACAGCTGACAGAATAGAAAGGGGAGTGGAATATATTAGGAGGAGTGTCGCTGAGCTAAATCCATGAAAGCTTCTGGGCACTGGTAAATACAGAAGTGGGATAGAGAATTCTTTATTCTTTGAGTCTCCACTAATTCTAAATTTATGCAAATACTTCTGGGGAGCTGGAGCTGCAGTTAGGCAGTATTTGTGCTAAGCATTCTGCCACCATATGGAAAGAATGTGGAATCGCACATGTTGACATCACCATCATCAGCTGTTTATTTATATGCCACTTTCCCACAATTGTGCCCAAAGTGGCTCACACAAGAAGAAGAAGAAGAGTTTGGATTTGATATCCCGCTTTATCACTACCCGAAGGAGTCTCAAAGCGGCTAACGTTCTCCTTTCCCTTCCTCCCCCACAACAAACACTCTGTGAGGTGAGTGAGGCTGAGAGACTTCAGAGAAGTGTGACTAGCCCAAGGTCACCCAGCAGCTGCATGTGGAGGAGCGGAGACGCGAACCCAGTTCACCAGATTACGAGTCCACCGCTCTTAACCACTACACCACAACACAAGTAAATGATAATGAAAACAACAATAACCAAACATATTAAGACCAATTGAAAATAATCACAATGTCAATAAATACAGAAAACAAATTCATATATCATTATATAAAACAATGCAAATAAATTAACAGTTTAAAGCCGTTAAAACCCTAAACGGCCTCGGCCCAGTATACCTGAAGGAGCGTCTCCACCCCCATCATTTTACCTGGACACTGAGGTCCAGCGCTGAGGACCTTCTGGCGGTTCCCTCACTGCAAGAAGTGAGGTTACAGGGAACCAGGCTGAGGGCCTTTTCGGTAGTGGCACCCCCTGTGGAACGCCCTCCCATCAAATGTCAAAGTAATAAACAACTATCTGATGTTTAGAAGACATCTGAAGGCAGCCCTGCTTAGGGAAGTTTTTAATGACTGATGTTTTAATGTATTTTTAATCTTTTGTTGGAAGCCGCCCAGAGCGGCTGGGGAAACCCAGCCAGATGGGTGGGGTATAAATAAATTATTATTATTATTATTATTATTATTATTATTATTATTATTATTATTACAGTTTAACAGTGAGCAGGAGAGAGAATGATGTCCAGCATAGGAATAAAATGGCATACTCTCAACTGTCCCGATTAAATTGAGACATTCTGCTTTGGGGAGCCATGCTCTCACCCAAAAACACACATCTCATATGAGATTGCAGCACCCAAAAACCTGGAACCCTGATTGTGTGTTTGTGCCGTAGTGGAGTTGGAGCTAGTACATAGGGCCCTGTTGTCTGAAGCTGATTAGGACTCTGTTCTGTAACATGGGGATAGCTGTTCTGTTGGTTATCGTTGAAAAACTTTCTGACTGAATCACTCAACCCCTAATGTTATGAAGCCCGCTTACATGTTTGAATTCAGTCTTTGAAAACTAATGCCTTGCATCTTGAAGTGCTTTATGTTACATTGGGGAGAAGAAGAGAGTTTTGAGCAGTGTTTCTGGGAATGGCAGACTAGGTAACAATCATCACTAGCAATTTGCCTGCTGCAGTTTAAAACTAGACATGCCTGGTCAGGAATAAGCGCCACTGAATTCAGCGCAGCTTACTCATCCCAAGTGTGTGTGTGTGTGTGTGTGAGAGAGAGAGAGAGAGAGAGAGTAGGTTTGCAGCCTTCAACTGCTATCTTGGAACATACAGGTTTGTGCATTATACTGTGTGACAATCAGTTTGCAAAAAGCACCAATTGGGCTTGGGTTCAGAGTTCTCAACCCACCATAGAATAACAGGACAAACCAAATCAGCTTCTAGCCACATAGATCTCCCAAGCTTATTGGCACTCCAGCAAGTTTTCTACCCTAGAAACAGTTGTACTCAAAGGCACCAAAGTCTTCTGGGGGAAGATTGAACCTCTCCAAGAAGGTAGTGGCTACTCAAAACTAATTGTTTTGTTCCTATGAAATGTGTTCAGTGGATTTGGTTGCCTCTCCTGTGCTTTCTTTTTTAGAAGAGAACGTGTTTCAACAGAAAGCAAAGAGATTTGATATGATTAATAGCTCAGTTCTGATAGCCTTATTGGTCTGGCCAGCAAAAAAAGAAAATTATTATTTTCTTATTTATAGGACATCCCTATTTTCACTGGAGAAACGTTGGAGGGTGTGCCATCTTAAAGTCTGAAGCAACAGCCACTCAAAATGGAGGGAAAGAAATGGTTTCTAAGTGAGCTGCCTTCGAAAAAAAGTTGAACATTGTGAAAACCACCTGGGTAGAGAAGATATAGGCAACTGTGCCACCTCGGGGATTGTCAGCCATTTTGTTTTCCTGTATGTGTTCACCAGGCTGTGCTCAGGCTGCAGCTACCCAAAAATTTTAACAAGTTGTTGCTCTGTGCTGTGTCAAAGTCAGTCAGCTCACAAACTAATTTCCAGGATGCCCCAATTGCTTTTCCTATCCAGGAATCCAAGCTTTTTTGCCCTGTCCTGTCCTTTCTCCCTATCCCCCATTGGCCAAATACTGTCTGTTCCTCCCCAAATGGCTAGGGCGGTGATTTACCATGTGTGGGATGTTGTTTCTTCCTAGCATACCTTCCAACAATTAGACACCCGCACAGCCCACCAGAAATATGGGTAAGGGTACACTTCACCTTACCCCATGTACAGATTGAAGATATACATTGCTTATCAAGTGGTTTTAGGCCAATGCTTTTATTTATTTGGGACGTGGGTGGCGCTGTGGGTAAAACCTCAGCGCCTAGGACTTGCCGATCGCATGGTCGGCGGTTCGAATCCCCGCGGCGGGGTGAACTCCCGTCTTTCGGTCCCAGCTCCTGCCCACCTAGCAGTTCGAAAGCACATCAAAGTGCAAGTAGATAAATAGGTACCACTTTATAGCGGGAAGGTAAACGGCGTTTCCGTGTGCTGCGCTGGTGCAGGCTCACCAGAGCAGCTTCGTCACGCTGGCCACGTGACCCGGAAGTGTCTCCGGACAGCGCTGGCCCCCGGCCTCTTGAGTCAGATGGGCGCACAACCCTAGAGTCGGACACGACTGGCCCGTACGGGCAGGGGTACCTTTACCTTTACCTTTTATTTATTTATTTTGACATTTTATATTCCATTTAATTACAATGATCTCTAAATGGTGTGCAGGAAGCTCAACGTAAACAATAAAGACTGAAATCAATTCAAAAGGATAAAATCATATATATTTATATAAAGTGGTACCTCAGGTTACAGATGCTTCAGGTTACAGACTCTGCTAACCCAGAAATAGTACCTCGGGTTAAGAACTTTACCTCAGGATGAGAACAGAAATCATGTGGCAGCGGGAGGCCCCATTAGCTAAAGTGATACCTCAGGTTAATAACAGTTTCAGGTTAAGAACGGACCTCCAGAACGAATTAAGTTCTTAACCTGAGGTACCACTGTATTTATATATACAGTGGTACCTCAGTTTTTTAACGTCTTGGAAGCCAAACATTT